GCAGACTCAGCTCTGCCAGGCCCCGAGGGGCTGGATCAGGGAATGACCCTCTGGGGAAGGGCACGTGGGGCAGCACGCTGGGCTGCAGAAGCACAGGGAACACCTCCACATGGCAGTCAGAGGCTCAGCAGGACGCTGGCATGTGATGGTTGGTGGAGCAGGGTACAGGCCCACCCGGCATTTGCCAAGACCTCACTAAGACTTAAAATGCGTCTCGTGCCCTGGCTGGTTTGGCTCAGTGAATAGAGTGTTGGCCTGCAGACTGAAGGGTCCCAGGTTCGATTCTGGTCAAGGGCATGTGCCTGGGTTGTGGGCTTGATCCCCAGTAGGGGGCATGCAGGAGGCAACCAATCTATGATTCTCTCTCTCTCTCCCCCTCTCCCTTCCTCTCTAAAGTCAATAAAAATATATATATTTTAAAAATGCGTCTCGCCAGCACCGGTTTAGCTCAGTGGATAGAGCGTCGGCCTGCGGACTCAAGGGTCCCAGGTTCGATTCTGGTCAAGGGCATGTACCTTGGTTGTGGGCACATCCCCAGTAGGACATGTGCAGGAGGCAGCTGATCGATGTTTCTGACTCTCTATCCCTCTCCCTTCCTCTCTGTAAAAAATCAATAAAATATATATTTAAAAAAAAAATGTGTCTCATGTTGACTTTTGGATATTATCCTGACGTATTTTTAATGAGACACACAGAAACAGGGCCCTGAAGCGGCTTGGCCGTATAGTCACGGGTGGACGGAAGCTGGCGCTGCCCAGCAATATCAGGGGGAGCTCTGGGGCGAGGGCTGCTCGGCTCCCACCTGGTGTCGCCACTGGCGGAAGCAGGACCGGCTGAGTGTCTGGGCCCGGAGCTGGGCGCCCCGCCTCTGCAGCAGCTGGAAGAGAGGACACACGCATGGGAGATGCTTCCAGTGCTACCAGGTGCCCTTGCCCAGACCACCCGGGGCAGCCACAGGTGAGGCTCCCCACCCAAGCGAATGGTTCTCCCATTGCCAGGTGCCCCGGCTCGGACAGGCCATGATTCCGAGTGAGCCAGGTTTCTTTCACCTGGAGAGACCCCTTTAACCTCGGTCCCCCCAGCCATGCCTGGAGGCTCCTGAACCGTGTGCCCACAGGACCCGAGACCACCAGGCACCCAACTGGTACTGTGAGTTCTGCAGAAAGGACCTCTCCTCCCCGGAAGCACCCTCCTCCTGGCCTGGGAGGCTCCACCACACAAGGGAAGGGGGGGGGTGTTGCCGCTGCCTCACCCGCTTCCTGACGCAGCCCAGGTGGTGCACTTTCCAGCAGGCCAGGCCCTGCAGCAGAAGCTGCCGACGGTAATGCCGCGCCGCCCTCTCCAGCTGGGCTCGCTGTTGGGCTACCCTCTGGCCCCGGGCCCGCCAGCGCCGAAACCAGGTCCTGAGACAGCCTACGGCAGGTCCGAGTCAGTGTGCTCTTTGGTCAGGTCTATATGAACGACTATGTCATGGGCAAAGCTGAGCGTGGAGAATGGAGAAGGTCCTGGGGGGCAGTGTTGGGGTGTCAGCCACACGGGGTGAGATCACCACAGATGGACACGCCTCTGAGGACGGCTCCGGGCATCTCAACAGCCGTGAGCACCGGGACCGGAACCAGGCCTGCTCTCTGCTGGTGCGCCTGTCCCGTGGGCCCACGAGCCTCAGAGACCACAGGTGTGTCAGGGCCCACAGGGCTGCACGAGCGCCTCGTGGCCCGGAAGGCCCTGGGCCCGACAGACGGCCTGCTCTGTGGGAGGAAACCGAGGCGCAGAGACCAGCGAGCAGCCGAGCCAGGCAGGGCCGTGGCCTGCATTCTTTCTATGTCACCAAGTCTCACTTTCTCCTGCTCATTATTTTACTTTGGATTTTTCCTTTTCTCAGGCCCTGAGAGAAGTGTCTTTCAGAGACAACAGAAGAGGGTTGATACCAGGGCACTGATGCCAAGATAGGGTGCCCTCCAGCACCCACGGGCGGGGCAGGGAAGGCTGCGCTCACGGGCCTGGAGGCCAAGCGTTAGTACTAATGCCGACACTGCCTGGTCCTCATGGCACCCCGAGACGCAGGGAGCATTGTCCCCACTTTACAGATGGAGAAATGGGGGCTCCGAGGACGGGCCCAGGTTGCACAGCCAGCATCTGCAGTGCTGTTACCTCAGCAACAGGAAACCCACACAGGAGAGGAGACAAGACTGCAGGGCAACAAGCGTCCTGGGTCCTTCACACCCTTTCCTCAGCTCCAGGGCCCGCTTACCCCTCGCCAGCACCCGCTGGGCCTCCCGGAGGGCACAGTCCGCCTGCTGCCGGCGGTAGATCTGCACCGCCGCGGCCTCCCGCCACCGGGTCAAGACCTGCGGGCAGACGAAGCGCAGAGGGCGGTCACAGCGTGTCCAACTTCCTGGGGACACCGTGCTCTGCTGGCAGCTCCTCAGGGAAGGAGGCCACGCGGCAGACATACGGCGCTGCCACACGTTCCAGGAGGCACATGCCACCCACAGGCAGGCAACAGGGGAGCCCAGACCTCAGGGGCGGCCTTCCCTACCAAGAGTTAACCGTCACCCCATGCCATGAGGACGCAAACGGGCTTCCATTCTGATATGGAGACTATACGTCACGTGTACACTTCCTATGAGACTTAACGAAGTCACAGTATAGGACACTTTGAAAAGAAGTCGAACATCCAGGGGACACCTGGTGCCTGCTCCCCAAACGATCACAAACTCCATTCACCCCAAAAAGGCCGTAAAGCCAAGCAGAGTCCTGACCCTCCCTCCAGGGCAGGGGACCCGCATGCTGGCCTTGGTGCTTTCCTGAGAACAGCCTGGGCCGGACCGCACATCGCTCTCCACCGCGGACGTGTCAGAGTTGTCAGGAGCTGCCCCTACCAGGCCTGCCAGCGGGGCTCCCGCAACCGCTTCCTTCTAAAGCGTCCCTGCGCCCAGGGCCACCTGTCACTTGAGTCCCTTCTGTCTTGTAACAGGTCGTCTTCCCACAGCCATGTCCTGCCACACCCTCCCCCCCCAGCATGTGAAACCAGGCCCCACCGTGTGGCATTTGGGGGCCACTTCCCACAGATGACGACCAACAGCCTCACATTCCTGGGATGCTCTAGGCCAGTGGTTCTCAACCTTCCTAATGCCGCGACCCTTTAATACAGTTCCTCATGTTGTGGTGACCCCCAATTTCATTATTAAAAATTGAATATAATTAAAGCATAGTGATTAATCACAAAAACAATATGTAATTATATGTTTTCCTATGGTCTTAGGCGACCCCTGTGAAAAAGTCGTTCGACCCCCAAAGGGGTCTCGACCCACAGGTTGAGAACCGCTGCTCTAGGCTTTCCCATAAGTCCCGCAGCCACAACACCTGTGAGGCCGAGGAGCAGGAGCGAGTGTCCTCTTCGCTCAGATGGCACCGTGACTGCCCGTCTGTCCCGTGGGAAATCCCACACGTGTGGAAAGTACTAGTTGTGACACAAGCAGCTTGCTCACTAGGTGCTATTCTGTTTTAATGAACACTGGCTCATAATTCAATAAACAGAAAGCCCGCCTGCTCACATGGCGAGGACGTTACCCCGTTTTCTAGTTCCTTGTTCAGTGCGAATCCCTGGCACCACCTCCCACGCCACCGCCTTGCAGAGCCCTCACCTTGAGGCACAGGCCCCTTTGGTAGTGAGCCCTCGCTCGAGAGGTTTTCCTTCCTTCCTCCATGCAGGCCGCTGCATTCTCCCTCCAGCGACGTAACACACACCTGCAGGCGCACAGGCCAGGACGGGGGCAGGGGACACCAGTGTGGAGAGATGGGGTGAGGTTCCTGGGAATCACTGCTGGTTCCGCAGCCCCCTCCCACCCCCAATCAAGGACGCCCTCTGCCCAGAACGTTTCCCCACGGCCGTGTTTATGTTGACTGGGATGTGCTCCCCACGGCTGCTGAGCCCTGCCCTGTGCCAGGATGGGGCAGCCCTGGGGACCATGCAGTGGACAAGACCAAAGGCCACATCCTCGCACATGTGTGCGCTCCAGGGAACACAGCGTTGTAACAGGTGATGACAGGACAGGAGAGTCATGCTGTGACCCAGGAGTCAGTGCAGGACTCCCTCTCCCCATGCCACGCTGTCTGGGGAGCTGAATGGACATACAGGCCCCTGAAGGAGGGACAGTGGTGTTTAAAGTCCCCAGGCCCCTCACGCACAGGTGGCCTGACAGTGTGCAGTGAACAGACACAGGAGGAGGAAACGGAAGGGCGGACGGAGGGAGGCCTGCGGTAGGAGTTCAGAGCGTGGCTTAGCAGGACTGGAGGACGGGCTGGGGGACTGGCGCCGAGCGGTGCAGGTGACCACAGGCGTCCCAGACACAGAGGGTGCTGGTGGTGAGAGGTGCCGTGGGGAGTCAGGGAAAGGTCTGGAGAGCCAAGCGGGGAGGCCACTGACTGGGAGCTGAGAGGCCACGGGAGCCATCGCAGCCTCTAGAGCAGGAGGTGCTACACCGGTGCCTCCTTCAGGCCTGAGGTGGGAGGGGGAGCGCTCAGAGCAGGGCACGCGGGGCCCTGAGACACGCAGGTGAGCTGCTTCCCAGGGGCCCGGCCCTGCGGCCCTGCACGTAGCAGGGGCTCTGGGCACAAGGGGGGAACCGTGAACGGAGCGCTGGCTGTGGAAAAGCCAGAGCTACGCTGTGAGCTGCACGCGGCAGTCAGGCCCGTCCTGTGCCTGCCCCGGACAAAACTCTCCAACCTGCCTGGTCAGGAGCCTGGCCCACACGCTCGGGCGGCCCGGGACCCGGGAGACTCACCACAGCAGCTGCCTCTGGTGCTGGCTCTCCCTGGCCGCCACCTCTTGAAGGACGCTCCGCACGCGGCTCTGGTAAGCCTGCAGGAGACCAGGACTGGAAGCCGCCCTGGGCCACAGCTCTCTCCATTCCCAGGCCGCGGGGGTTCTCCATGCCCAGAGCTCACACCCACCAGAGGGGCGGAGAGGCCACAAAGCCCCCGGCTGAAAGACCACCCGACAGCAGGGCGAGGACTGTCCCCCTCAGCCTCACCCTCAGTCAGACCCCTGGGCTCCTGGGCACAGGCCACTCTGAACAGAAGGCTGGAGCCTAGACAGCCCCTGTGTTTACTTTTCTGGTTTGTGTTTGCTGAGCGAGGAGGGAAGGACTGAGCCCTGTGCTGTAAGACCCCCCCCAGGACACTCGCTCTGGTGGAATGACTGCTCTGAGGGGCGGGAAGAACAGGAAGGGAAACCGCCTTCAGGGTCCCCCTCCCCCAAGGCAAGGGGGCGCGGAGGAAGCAGCAGCACCTACCCCCCAGGTGTGCAGCGCCCGGTGCAGCAGGGTGTGCTGGTGGTGCAGGTCTGCGCGCATCAGCTTCTGCCGCTCGGTGCCCCGCAGGGTCAGGCACTGCGGACAGAGGGCCGGCCAGAGGGGAGGGCCGAGGAGGGCAGGCTCAGCTTTGCCTCCAGGTACACGCAGCTTGGGTGAGCTCGGGGAGGGCAGGACACCTGGGAGCCCCCGCTCCCTCATCTATAAATAGGTACCGCTGGGGGGTTTGCGGGGATCAATGGGGCCAGGGCCTGACTTGGGGTAAATGCTCCGGCAATGAGCATGAACGTTTCTGCCCAGGGCTGGGTGCCTATCATGGTTAGACCAGGAATTTCAGGCTCAGGGAGTTCAGGTAGGAACAGCCCAGCGCGTAAGAGAACAAGGAATTCTGAGTCTATCATCTCGGGAGGCCAGGTTCACATTTTCATCTGCTGCCCGCCCCCCCCCCCCCTCCCCCGCTCAGAGGCCTGAGGTCTCAGAGGGACCGGGGATGAGCCCCTCCTGCGGCTGAGTCACTGACGCCCAGCTCCATCTGTCCCCAGCCACACGGGATGGCACCTGTGCCAAAGCTCACCTCCCTCCACCGGTGCCAGGCCCCGCGCAGGAGCCGCGCTGAGAGGAACGCTGCCGCCAGCACCCCGCCCGTCTTCCTGTGGGGAGAGAGTGGGCGCTCAGTGCTGCACCCAGACCAGCCAGGGCCCAGCCGAGGGTGCCCCTCACACTCCCTGGCTCCTGCCTCGTGGTTCTTAAATGTGGGGGAGTCAAGCTCCACTCTGAAGAACGGCCAAAGGATTTGGGCTCTTCACCCAGGAGCGTGCACAGGTGATAACGTCTTTGCAGACGACCTCACGGGGTTCCAAGTACCACTGAGGCCTAGTCACGTGCAGGAGGCGGCATGTGGCCGAGCTGAGTCGGGGAGAGCCTCACAGCCCCAAAGGGATCCAGAAAGGCCCGAAGCAGGACAGTGCCTGCAATGCGCCCGCGGGCTCTGTCCCCACTAACCACGTGGTAGGCAAAACCTGCCACCCGTGGCCCTGGCTACAGCTCTGCTCCGTGCTGGGGAGGGTCAATGACCCCCAAGGAAGCCCGTTAGTCTGTCCCTTGGCCACGGTCACTTCACATGGGCCCCAACCAGCAAGCAGGGTGTGCCCACGCACAGGACCCAGATACACAGGCACGTGAGGGTCCTCTCACCACAGCCCTGGTTGTGCTCAGACTGTTTCAGATTGAATTTCCGGAACTTAAAACAAGAGTCTAGGACAGTGATGGCGAACCTTTTGAGCTTGGCATGTCAGCATTTTGAAAAACCCTAACTTAACTCTGGTGCCATGTCACATATAGAAAATTTTTGATATTTGCAACCATAGTAAAACAAAAACTTATATTTTTTTGATATTTATTTTATATATTTAAATGCCATTTAACAAAGAAAAATCAACCAAAAAAATGAGTTCGCGTGTCACCTCTGACACGCGTGTCATAGGTTCGCCATCACTGGTCTAGGCTAACGTGACCCCCTGCCTGGGCACTCAGATCTGACAGTGCTGCTACTACAATCAAAACTGGTCTGAGCCCGGACGGTGTGGCTCGGGGGTTGAGCATCGACCCAGGAACCAAGAGGCCACCAGTTCAATTCCAGGTCAGGGCACATGCCCGGGTTGTGGGTCCCCAGGAGAGGGTGCGCAGGAGGCAGCCGATCAAAGATTCTCTCTCATCATTGATGTTTCTACCTCTCTTTCCTCTCTCTCCAAAAATCAATAAAAACATTAAAAAAAAAAAAAGCTGGTCTGAGATGGGAAAAGCCAGAGGCAGAAAAGCGACCACTCACTCTGATCTGAGCCCTCGGGCGCTCTCCCTCCAAGTGCAGAAAGCCGTCCTGAGCCTCGCCTGGCGGTGGTGGGCACGGGCCACTGCTTGCCACTGCCGCTCCTGGCGACGTGCTGCCGCCCGCTGGTGCCACGTGGACCAGCACCTGCACAGGAGCTGCCGCTCCGCGTGAAGGACAGCCTGCGGAGGATGGCAGGGAGAGAACAGAAGGGGTCGGGTCGGAGGGGTACCGGAGCCAGGACGACGAGGCAGAAGAAACAGACACTCAGGAGCCAGCTGCCCTCGCCCAGAAGCCACCTGTGCAGAGGAAACCAATGCCCCAGACCCTGGCCCTGCCCCGAGTGCTGGTCACAGGCAGGACGTCCTTAAGGGGGTCTGGGTCCCAGGCGACGTCCTGAGGAGAGGAGGCAGTGAATGCAAAGGCTTGGATCGCACCTCCTCAGGGGAAGCCACGTACCATTCTCTCTGCCAAGCGATGTTCTTGATGCCGAAACATCTTCTGCCACCAAATAGCAAATACTTGCTTCTCTAATGTCTCCCTATGTAAATAATAATAATAGAATGAGAAGTTCCAAATGGATTTTCCTCTTACACTGTGCTTTTAAGAGACAAATAAGCTTATCTAGGGAGAAAGAAAAGGGGAAGAACAGGAAAAATAGCCAAAAACCCCACAACCACCCAATTCTTTCCAAGTATTTCTGGTGCCAGCCAGGCACTCACAGAGTGTGAGCAAGACTCTGAGACTGTTCTTCTCCAGTCCATGCTGAGTTACCGCCAGTGCTCACGGTTCCTAGCGAAAGCTGCTCCAGGCCAGGCTGACCCACAGGACACACATCCTTGGGCAAAGCCGTGAAAAACAGATGCCTGGCCCTAGCTGGTTTGGCTCAGCAGATAGAGCGTCGACCTACAGACTGAAGGGTCCCGGGTTCGATTCCGGTCAAGGGCACATGCCCAGGTTGCAGGCTTGACCCCCAGTAGGGGGTGTGCAAGAGGCAGCCAATCAATGATCCTGTCATCATTGATATTTCTCTCTCTCCCTCTCCCTTCCTCTCTGAAATCAGCAAATATATAAAACAAAACCAGATGCCTGGCCCCCAAGGCTGCTGAGCAGGCCTGAGGCTGCCCCGGAAGCAGCCGGCAGACAGGGAGGTAAGTGTGGGAACCACTGCTCTGTCACCTCTAGACGAGACCTAGACTTATCACTGACCACTGAGTGAAGCATGTAAACATCTGATCACCATGTTGTACAGCTGAAACAAATGTAATACTGTGTGTGAACTGTAACTGAAAAGTGTGTTTTTGTTAATCCTCATGTGAGGACATTTTCCCGTTAATTTTTAGAGAGAGTGGAGGAGGGGAGAGAGAAAAAGAAACATCAATGTGAGAGACACATCAACTGGCTGCCTCGCCCCACCTGCCGAGGATCGAATCCTCCTAGTCAAGATCACGGCCACTTCTCCCAATGCGTGTCCCTCCCTCCCGCCTCTGTCCTAAGCTGACCTACACCATTACTCAGGGCAATCTCCAAAGCTGTCATTTCACTGGCTGCACGCACCTGCCCATGACTGATCCACAGGATCAGGCCATCGCCTCGGTCCTGTCCTCCTCATCTGTCCACTCGGTCACCCATCCCCAACCCCCGGCTCACAGCCACGCCTGCCCCGGGTCCTTCCCTCAGCACTAGTGCTGAGCCCTCGAGCTTGTGGCTGACACAGCTGAGGACACAAGGATCTGTTCTCTGGAACTGTTTGTTCTTCAGTAGTTTCTTGCGTAACAGTCTTTTCTCCCGCAAAGTCCTTAAAAAGAGCTCCCTGCCTGGACTTTGGGGTCCGGGAGCTGAGTTTAAACCCGGGCTCTGCTAACGACGGCCTGCGTTACCGGGTGGGTCATTTGCCATGTAAACTGGTTCTCTCAGGACTGCTGGGAGATGGACGTTATTAACGCGATGACGATGGCACAGGCACACGAGTCTCTCGATTGGTGGCTTCCTTTCTCCCACACCCTGCCCACCGCAGTGGCAGACACACAGCTAGCGGTGAATCATTCCAATACATTCCTCCCACATGCAGGAAGAACCTGCTGTTGGGCGCGTTTGCCCCTGTGGCCACTAAAAAGAGGTAGCTCTGCTCCTCGCCTGTCCTCATTTCAAGACTCCACAAAGTCAGGTCTAGCGGAGCAGGGACCACACGCTGCAGGGAAATCACACTCCAGGGGGCCTGCCAAAGCAATGCAAGGTCCCCCACACTCGGATCCAGGCGCTCATGGGCAGTTTTAATGGAGCGCACTGTGGCTTGGAATGAGGGCAGGGACATAAAACCCAGCCTGCTCGGAAAGCATTTGCAATGAAGCTGGACAAACGTTTCCCTGGGGAGGAGGCTGGCCGTCTTCCTGCGAGATGAGATCAGTGAGAGCACATTGATTTCAGAGAAAAATCAATTAGAGAAAATCCAGGAAGAGCCTGGGCCCGGGGGCTGCGAGGCTGAAAGGCACCGCAATGGCCGTGTGGTGGCCGAGTCAGACCCTGACGCCGCCCTGCGCGTACCTGTGGAAGCGACGCTGCCCAGTCGTGTGTGTACCTGTGGAAGCGACGCCGCCCTGCGCGTACCTGTGGAAGCGTGCTGCTCTGGCCTCCAGGACGCTCTCCTGCAGGCGCCATCGCCACAGTCTCCTCCACGCCTGGAAGGCTGCAGGCAGGGTTCTCTGCTGGAAGTGCCTGTCTGCTCTGGCCTGTAGCAGCTGAAGTAAAACGAGTGACCTTTACTTGTACTTTACATTAAAAAAGAAAATGACCTTTCTCTTTTTATTGATTTCACAGAGGAATGGACAGGGAGAGAGAGACAGAGAAACATCAATGATGAGAGAGAATCATGGACCGGCTGCCTCCTGCAGGCCCCACACTGGGGATCAAGCCTGCAACCCGGGCATGTGCCCTTGACCGGGAGTCAAACCGTGACCTCCTGGTTCATAGGTCAATGCTCCACACTGAGCCACAGCGGCTGGGCTACAAGAATCTTTTCAAAGCAAAGGAAACGTAACTAGAGTGTAAGCCAGCAGAGCGACCTGCGGTGAAGTGCTCCCTACCTGCTTGTCTCGCCTCTTCTGCATACGCTGTAACCACCACCTGACACACCTGCGTAGCAATGTTCTTCTGAAATAAAACACAGAACACCAAGGTGCTGCCCAGACCACTTCCAGGTTCCTGCGTTTCTGTTTTGTTCTGAGGCAGGTAGATTCAATGTAGTTATATCATGAGTGTTAAAGGCACCCCATGCGTTTCATTCTAGGAGACCCCCAGTGGGGGGTCGTGCAGGAGGCAGCTGATCTGTGATCCTCTCTCACTGATGTTTCTGTCTCTCCATCTCCCTTCCTCTCTGAAACCAATTAAAAATAATAATAAAATAAAAAGACACCTGTCCTTCTCTCACCACTCCCCTTTAAAAAAAGGAAAAAATGCTCCAAAATCAGACCTATAACTGTGCACGTTAGGCGGATTAAAGTGGCTTTTTAAGGGGGATACACTAAACAAGTCTGGCAGCAAAAACTAATAGTGGTCACCTCTGCAGCGCAACACCAAGGGGTTGGAGGAGGGTCCCAGGTAGCTTTATTTAACTCTCTACCTTCCTTCCTGGACACCGAGTTTCTCCTCATGGACATGTGTACACTCACATACTTATTTTAACGGAACGATTAACTCTAAAAAACTGAGGACACTCTCTGCACCCCTCAAGACGGCACCACAAATATGCCCCTGGCCTGAGCCTTCTTTTTTTTAATTTTATTAATTTTTTACAGAGAGGATGGGAGAGAAATAGAGAGTTAAAAACATCGATGAGAGAGAAACATCGAATAGCTGCCTCCCGCACACCCCCCACCGGGGATGTGCCCGCAACCAAGGTACATGCCCTTGACCGGAATTGAACCTGGGACCCTTCAGTCTGCAGGCCAACGCTCTATCCACTGAGCCAAACTGGCCAGGGCCTGAGCCTTCTCTTTAACAGCACTAACGCATGACGTCTACAACGTGAACACCATTAGAGCCCCAAGGACTGAGGCGGCGAGCCAGCAGGCACATGTTTCAAACCACGGTGGCCAAGAGCCGGTACAAACATCCTCATTCTACCTCTCCTCTGAGCAGCCAAGAGAACACAAGCTCAGGACCAATGGTTACCGCAGGGCCTGCCTGAACCTGCTCAGGGGCACACGGAGGGGTAAGCGCTCACTCCTGGGGAACAGCGAGTCTGTCCGGTTGGTCCCGAGAGAGCCCCAGGCAAGGGCCAGAGTCCCTACCTGTGGTGGTCCCAGGCAGCCTGCAGTAAGGGGCGCTGCTCTCTCTCCTCCCTCTGCTCGATCCGAGACTGCCAGAGGTTCCAGAACCGGCGCAGCAGCTGAAACAAAACAGGAAAGAAGCAAAAATTTATTACTGCAAACTAATCTCTCTTAGCCTATTAGTTAGCAAACCCCCACACCAAAAGACTGTAAGGTCCCCAAAGCAGGAATGACCTCAATTGGGAGCACACAACATACAACAGGCTTGTGGGACGACTAGGGTGAGGCTACATGGAGCTATTCTGGGCCAACCCAAAAGCCAAAGGAAGGGTCTTCCAATCTATGGAAATCAGGAGCTACTTCTCATCAGGGCCTAGCGGCCGACAATGCCGTTGTAGAAATTAGAAGCGATCCTAGCACATTTTACTGCCTATGAAGTAGTCTTGCCAAAAAAAAATGTTTAGCTTCAATTTCATCAAGCTCTTAGATCTGACTTCTAGTTTATGGAAGTTACATAGAAAGAAAAAAGGACAATCAAATGTCAACCAAAGGAAACAGATAAATCGAGAACATTGGAAAACTGTACAAAATAACTGGTGTTCCTTTTCAAAAAGTCAATGTCATTTTTTTAAAAAAAAGTGTACATGATGCTGAGTGAAATAAGCCAGTCGCAAAGGGCTAGTACTGCAAATAGGAGGGACCCAGGGCAGTCAAATTCCTAGAGATAGGAGAATGGCGGTTGCCAGGGGCTAGGGAGGAGAATGGGAGCTGTTCAGTGGGGACAGCGTTTCAGTTTTGCAAGATGAGAAGATTTCTGAGATGGTGGTGGTGATGGCTGCACAACAATGTGAATGTGCTTAATGTCACTGGACTGTAAACTTAAAAATGGTTAATATGATACATTTCATTATGTGTATCAAACTACTCTTTATGTTTTTCTATGCATTTGAACATTTTCACAATCAAAAACAAAGCAAGAGCCCTGGCCGGTGTGGCTTTGTTGGTTGAAGCATCATCCTGTGAACCGAAGGGCCACAGGTTCGATTCCAGGTCAGGGCACGTACCCAGGTTGCAGGTTTGATCCATAGTTGGGGCGACTACAGGAGGCAACCAATCGATGTTTCTCTCTCTCTCCCTTTCCCCTCCTCTCTCTCTCAAAACTCAATTTAAAAAAAAAAAAGACAAAACAAGAAAACCCCATCCTTCTGCACCCACAAACACAATCTCTAAGTAGAGACAGAATGTTTGTCGTCCTGAGGTAACAGCCCTGACGAGAACAGCTGTACAGACGTACAGTGCAAACCAACCAGAGCTGCCTGGAGTGGGGGCTTAAACCATATTCACTGGGTCAGGGTTGGAAGCCACAGTCCCTGACCTGTGATTCAAACACCAACTTTCTTAGCCAACAGATAAGAATCGGGATTAAACCAGGGTTTCTCTATTGGCTGGGATGGAGTATTGAGGAGACGAGCACTGAGGTTTTAGCATCTATGGGTCTGGGGACAAATCCGTAAGCACAAAGGTTAACAAGAGAAGGACCACCAGGAGGGCCCCTGCGGCAGGAGAAGGCCCTCACCCCGACGTCGTGCTGCTGGTGAGCGAGATTCCTTCTCATGCGCTGGAGGCGGGCGCGGGTCACGTTGCCTCTGAGGGCTCTAAAGCAGAAGTGCTGTGGAGGCAGAAGGACACACGGGCCACCCATCTAAGTGGCTGCAACAGTAACAGCAGCGCCCGAGTCCGGTGGCCAGGAGCTCAGTCACAGCTGCTCCCAGGTCCCTGAGAGCGTGTCTCTGCTGCGTGTCAACTGGGAGTCTGATGCACACACAGTAGGTGAGATTCCTTTACAGTTCCAAACCCCTCGCCGCCCCCCCCCCCATTACCATCTCTGATGCAGAGTGAAAACAGGGACACCCACATAGGGGAGGGGTCCACGGTGACGCCCACATAGGGGAGGGCTCCACGGTGACGCCCACATAGGGAGGGCTCCACGGTGACGCCCACATAGGGGAGGGCTCCACGGTGACGCCCACATAGGGAGGGCTCCACGGTGACGCCCAGATAGGGAGGGCTCACATGCCCAGAGGCACTGAAAGAGCATGTGGGTCCAGGGCCCCTGAGTGGAGCAGGGCTACCCGCTTACCAACAAGCGGTGCCGACAGTGCTCCTCTGCCTCCTTCCACCGGGCAGCGTCCTCTGCACACAGCAGCACGTCTGCCAGGAGTTAAGGCCTCTCGTCTCCTCAGGGTTCCCACCCCCACACGGTACAATCCTGCTGACCCACCGAAGGGTTCTGGCTGCAGGGATTGAGGGACTCTTTTGTATGAATAGCCCCAATTAAACGAAAATTTCTAAAAGAAGTCAACAGAGAGCAGGACTACGAAAGTGTTCAGAACTGCTGCCCGTGTGTCCCGACCCTTGTCGTACAGGGGGCTGAGCTCACGCGGCCCCGGCTGGCAGCGAACGAGCCGCAGGGCTGAAAAGGATACAGTGCTTCCAGTGAGTGAAGGCCCGCCGCAGCGCCATCCTGCCGGCCAGCGCCTGCACCCGGGCGTGGCGAGCATGCCAGCTCTGCCTCCACTGCCAGGCCCACTGCCAATCACAGAAGTGCGTCTGAAGCACCGTGACGTGGTGGAATCGCTCAGCCATCTCTGCAACACAGAACATGACTTCGCTGCTGCCCCTCCCGCCTGGGCAGTGAGCAGGCAGCATCCCTCATACCAGCTGACCCCACCACAAGCAGACAGCAGGGCTCCAAGCAGTTCTCATGAGGAACCCTGGATTACATGGTTTCTGAACATGGGAGGGACCTCAGGAATCCCTTTATCACATCTCTTCTGTCCAAGAAAAGAGAAAAGGTGTGGCATTTCAGGGAAGAGGATGCTATGAAATCAAAGCGCTGAGGCTCCTAGTCACTACTGACGAGTAAGAACGGTGACTGCTGCTTTCAGACTCCGCTCTATTTCTGCCTCCTGGCTAATGTCTCCTGGACAGGACTCAGGGACCGAGTCCATGACACACCATTCCGTCAACTGCTGGCCACGGCTTGTGGAGCTCTCCGTCAGGCTGATGCAGGCTGCCAGCTTCACTCCCTTTGAACACTGACTAGCTAAGGGCCTGAGGAGCTGACGTCCGGGAAGTGAAAGGGAGTGGGTCCTGGACGAAATGCTGTAACCGGAGGAACGTTAGTCTGCAGCTCATCACTCCTAACGCTCTGGGCTTGGGCAACCAGGCAGTGGTCCCCTGTCACTACTCTCAAAGGACACATTCACTCTCCCCAGAGCGCAGCAGCCTAGAGATTTCTGCAGGGAGGTCGAGGTGAACGCTGGAGAGCCCGACCCGGCATCGGGCACAGAGCTTGAGTCACTTCTGCGTACGCTGAAGAAACGAAAGCACAGAAGTACCGGTGACCATGACCTATGCATGTATTATTACTTCTGAACTCTCACTGGTAAAGAAACGATTGGCACAGAGCTAACACGACTCACCATCTAAATCACAGGCATCCCTGTAACTGGGGACAAACAGAACAACCCAAATACCCATCGACAGAAGAATGGTTAAGATAAGCCACCCTATTAAGTACAGCCACTAAAAAGAATGTAGCATTTATGAAGAATAAAGACACAGGCCTAACCGGTTTGGCTCAGTGGATAGAGCGTCGGCCTGCGGACTGAAAGGTCCCAGGTTCGATTCCGGTCAAGGGCATGTACCTTGGTTGCAGACACATCCCCAGTAGGGAATGTGCAGGAGGCAGCTGATCGATGTTTCTCTCTCATCGATGTTTCTAACTCTCTATCCCTCTCCCTTTCTCTCTGTAAAAAATCAATAAAATATATTAAAAAAAAAAAAGACACAGGGAAGTACAGGTTAGTTGTATGGGGAAAAAAGCCACATATGAAATTGCATGTATCATATTAACCATATATAGTTATAATATCTTTAAAACTCTACTGAAGCCCTAGCTGGTTTGGCTGTGGATAGAGCGTTGGCCTGCAGACTGAAGGGTCCCAAGTTCAATTCCAGGCAAGGGCACATGCTTGGGTTGTGGGCTCGATCCCCAGTAGGAGTGCAGGAGAGGCAGCCGATCAATGATTCTCTCTCATCATTGATGTTTCTCTCTCTCTCTCTCTCTTCCTCTCTGAAATCAATTAAAAAAATATTTTTTAAAACCCTATTGAATAAAATATATGCACAGAAGAAAATAAGTGTGAATTGAGGATTACGTACTTTCGTCCTCAATCTCCCTTTACCAGGACTTGGGGCACACTCTGGTGCTCTCTCTCCTTAATGAATTAGCTCCACTGGCAGAAGGAACGTGGAAATTGTGACCCGACCCTCTGTCTCTCGAGCCCGGGACTTCCCGCTCACCATTCTGCTGTCTCTTTACCCTCCGGGCCTGCAGGTAGTCAAGCCAGGCCTTCAGACATCTGCGCTTCTGCCAGTGCTGATGGTGTTTCACTGCGCAGACCAGCTTCTGTCTCTCTCTCTGGACATGCAGGAGCTGTTCCTGCCACCGTGACCAAGCCTGAAAAATAAAGAAAAGACGACAATCAAAAAGGAGAGGCAGGAAAGCAGAGGTGAAGTACAGGTGAGGGAAACAGACAGACACAAACACACAACACACACACACACACACACACACGCACAGGAAAGGTAAAAATCAGACACAAGGAAGTGGCAATCCCTAAGCAGGATCATAAGCTATGGGAATTTGGGGTGAAAGGATCTTTAAGAGGGTCATTCTGCTTCCAGAAAGTAAGTTGTTTTTTCCACCGTGACCAAGCCTGAAAAATAAAGAAAAGACGACAATCAAAAAGGAGAGGCAGGAAAGCAGAGGTGAAGTACAGGTGAGGGAAACAGACAGACACAAACACACAACACACACACACACACACACACACGCACAGGAAAGGTAAAAATCAGACACAAGGAAGTGGCAATCCCTAAGCAGGATCATAAGCTATGGGAATTTGGGGAGAAAGGATCTTTAAGAGGGTCAGCCTGCTTCCAGAAAGTAAGTTTGTTTGTTTTTTTGGATAAAGAACAAAAATAAAAATGAATCATCAAACCAACGAGCAGACAAGAAGCAGAGACAACCGCAGGGGTGACCTGATGCATTCGGATCTGGGACAGGTGAGAGCCTGCCTTTTCCTCCTCAGTGGGAGGAGCCTACTGTCAAGAGGCCCTTTCTCAGACGTGTTAGTTTCCCGGAACCTTATCGACCGAAGCTGAGGTCCACAAAAGGACCCCAGAGGACGACCTGTAACGCACACCCTCAGGAGACCTCCAAGCACGCTCAGCGAGACTCGTGCCCTAGTTGGAAGATGACTGTCTCAGACAAGACTTCGTACCTTCTCAAACCTGTACCACCTCTTCGCCTTCCTTTCCTCTCAGCTGAATACCATTCCTCCTATTTCACCAAGAAAATAAAAGCAATCAAAAAAGAATTTTCTCAAGCTCCCCCCACTCTACCCACCCACCCGCCTGCCCACAGGCTCTGCCTTCTCTCCTGTGAACTCTGGATACACTGTCCGTGCTCCCATCAAAGATCACCCCTCCCACTAAGGATACATCCCACCTTCTCTCATCTTCTCAAGATGATCTCTTTGGCCATTCCCCCGACTTCTACATCATTGATTTTCACTCTCTACTAGATTTTTAAAATCAACATATGAATGTGCTATTATTTCTCCCATCCTAAACAATATTGATGTATCCCTCAGGGATGTGAAAACCAAAAGCAGCCCTAGCTGGTTTGGCTCAGTGGATAGAGCGTCGGCCTGCGGACTGAAGGGTCCCGGGTTCGATTCCAGTCAAGGGAACATGCCCGGGTTGCAGGCTCGACCCCCAGTAGGGGGTGTGCAGGAGGCAGCCCATCAATAATTCTCTCTCATCATTGATGTTTCTATCTCTATCTCCCTCTCCCTTCCTCTCTGAAATCAATTAAAAAAAAAAAAAAGAAAGAAAACCAAAAGCAATAGGTAACCCTTCATTGGACCTGGACCTGGACCTGACACTGAAATAGCAACAATATATGTATATCTGTATATGTATATCTGCATGTAAATAAACTATGTTAGTTATTATTGTATCAATATTAAATTTCATGGATACAATGATATTGTGGTTATGTAGGGAAACATCCTTATTTTTAGGAGATAATAAGCTAAAGTAGTGTAAACTTTATGTCTGCAACTTTAAAGTGTCTCAGAAAATACATTGATATACTTAGATAAAGCAAATATGGCAAGATGTAAACAATGCTTAAACTAGTGAACAGAAGATAGTATACACCTTTCCTGTGACTTGGTATTTGTTAAAAATAAAAAGGGGGGGGGGCGTAGCATACTGGCATAAAAATCCTTTTTTTTTCCAGAGAGGAAGGGAGAGGGAGAGAAAAGCATCAATGATGAGAGAATATCATTGACTGGCTGCCTCCTGCACACCCCCTACTGGGGATTGAGCCCACAACCCAGGCATGTGCCCTTGACCAGAATGGAACCTGGAACCCTTCAGTCTGCAGGCCGATGCTCTATCCACTGAGCCAAACCAGCTAGAACATAAAAATACTTCTTAAAAGAAATCAGTAATTCTGATTTCCAACCAACTGGCTCCCCTCTTTAGACCAGCGGTTGCCAACCTTTCAGACCTCACCGATCACCACTTTGCCAGCGGCTAACACTACGTTTCTTTCCCTTCCTTTCCAAACTCCTAGAAAAGGCTGCCTGTTTCCTGATTTCTCTTCTCCCATGAAGGTGTCCTTGAACCCTCTTCCCCATCAGGCGTACTGAAACTGCTGTCATCCATGATTTCTCCAGTTTCCCAATCCAAAGGTCAAATCACAGCCCTCAACTTCCCGGAACTGGCAGAAACATGGGACACAGCCGGTCAAACCGTCCTTCCCCGGCTCCCAGGATATCACAGTCTCCCTCTGCTCCTGTTGCTGATCCCCAGCTCACAGGCTCAGTCCTGGAACCTCTCCACCACCAGCTGCGTGCCTAGGACTCCCAGATCTAACTACACCCAGGTCTGGGCCTGTCCTCAGTACTCCACACACATATCCAACTGCCTTCCTGGCACCTCCTGGTGGGATTCGAAAGGCCTCCCAGGCTGAAAACATGTACCTCTTCCTAATCTTTCCCCACAAACCTGCTCCTTCCTCCATCTGCCCAATTTCAATAAATGGCAACGACACTGTTCACTTAGGCCTAAAACATGGGAGTCATCTTGGAGTCTCTGAAACTTCACATCTTATCTATCCATTGACACATCCTGAGGACAACACCTTCAAAACATACCCAGAATCCAACACCAACTTGCTGTCATCCTTGTCCAAAATCTCCCCTGGAATTTGATAATAGCTCCTTATCTGTTTTCCCTGCTTTGAGCCTTGACATTCAATGGTCTATTTTTAATGCAGCAGCCACAGCGATCCTTTTTCGTTTGTTTTGGTTTATGTCACTTAAACCTCTTAATTTTATATGACAATTTCCCTCCTCCTTTTTTTTCCCCTCTCATGCCACCAATTTGTTAGAATTTGATAATAGCTCCTTATCTGTTTTCCCTGCTTTGAGCCTTGACATTCAATGGTCTATTTTTAATGCAGGAGCCACAGCAATCCTTTTTCGTTTTGGTTTGTCACTTAAACCTCTTTATTTTATACGACAATTTCCCCCCCTCCTTTTTTTTTTCCCCTCTCATGCCACCAATTTGTTAAGGATACCAAGTCATTTACCCTATAAAATGCCCCACATTTTAGATGTGGCTGACTGTCTCCTCCAGGTGCCTGACACTCATTCCTCTGACCCCTGTATTTCCCTGAACTGATGGAGTCAGGTTCCAATTTTTAGACAAGAACCTTTCTCAAGTGGTGCTAGGCATTTCCCATCACTGCATCAGGAGGCCCATCGTGGCTGGCTGCCGGTGTTCTGCGCCAGGCTGCTCAGTGGCATCAGCCCGACCCCTCCATTATATTTCCCCATCGTCTTCTCACCTGGTGGTTGCTGCCCAGATCCACTTTTTCATTAGGAGTGACAAGCAGTGATTTTCTAATTCTAGTGCTTTTATTATAGCTGGAATTCTATGAAGAAGCCTACTCTCTCGTTAACCTCCTTTCTCAGAGGTTTGCATAGGAAAGGCAGGATAAATTGCTTGATTTTTACCTTCATTAATTTTCAAAGAATTGAATTAAAGCTCTCACAACACAAATTGTGACCAATGAGTTCCTTTTTATGTCTCGTTATGAATGCATACATTTTTATATACTTGATGTGTTTTTAATCCATTATAGTCGTTATTCTTTTTTGATGCTCAAACTGTTCTAGCTTAAGCCTATGGGAGCCCCGATACAATCCATTAACCTTTGTGAATTTACACCCTTCCCAGCACGCTACACCGGAGGCCAGCGGTTTTCAGCAGGTGTGCGTGAGAATTTTTAAAGCATGCAACACCTATTTAGTCAGGGGCACTGAACTATTTTTCCTTACATTGACAAATTAAAAAAAGACCACAGCCAACACACAGCAGTCCAGTGTGAACGCCCCGTCTTGAACAATATACAGGTCATGTACAGAGTTGCATTTTATTGGTTACATCACATAAGGTTGCATCTGACGGGCTATATCTTGGTACCAGAAATCCTTATATACAAGTATGGGCACCTGATATTTTGGTAAAAAGTCACTTTGGGGAGCATCTGAAATCTTGCTTCCCTGGCATGTAGTCTGTTTGGCTCAAATACACTGAAATTAACTCCTTCTTTTTTTTTAATTGATTTTTGGAAAGAGAAACAGCGATCCGTTTGTTCATCTTATTTATGCATTCATTGGTTGCTTCTTGTATGTGCCCTGATCAGAGATAGAACCCACAACCTTGGCATACTGGGATGATGCTCTAACCAACTGAGCTACCCAGCCAGGGCCTCAAATCAACTTTTTAAAATTTTTTTTAAAAAAGTCACTGTGGAGCAAAAAGAGTAGGTAATTACTATTATTAGTTTTTGTTAAGTCAATCAGAATTATACCTACTTTTTGTTAGATTGGCAAAAAATATATATTTTTGGTGTGCTGCAGAACTTTAGTAATTAGTTTACGTGCCAGGAGATGAAAAAGATTGAAAATCACTTCCTTAGGCTTATGATGTCTATTTTCAGCTCTAGATCTGAAATCAGCCATTTCTCCACACACACACACACACACACACACACACACACACACACACACCCTCAGTTCCTTTCAGTGGGAAATAGCAGAGACCACAACTTGGGCTCTCAGGATGCCAAATGCTGTGTTATTGCCACTGCTTCTAAGACTTTTCAATAAGTAGATTTTTTAGGTAAAAAAATTTTTGAGTCCATATTGATATTTACAGTTCCAGTTTCAGATTTACAGGGCTCTTGTTTTTTTCTTTTACCCTGTAAATTGTGACTCCGAATGATACTGCCATGGTTATCTGCTTTGTCTTACAATGTAGCTATAATCATTTCAACCTAATTCCAAAGCTGCTACTAACAGTAAGACTGCTGGATACAGTTTTAGATTTCTGAGCAGTCCTGTGTCCTTAGCCTACATCCCACTAGGGAGGAACAGTCCAAATGTTGTATTTTGAAGTCCCTTGAAGTAATGATTTTCTCTGTGTAGTCACTGCTACAAACTTGCTATGTTTGTTTCAGTGTGTCTTAAAACCCTAGGGATTATTTTCCTTTTTGATTTACCTTTGGGGGTTTATTTTCCCATTGTTTTTCTTGAAAATATAAGCAAACACACTGTCTCTAGTTTCTCTCCCTTCCTTTCTTCCTCAAAAGGCAGCAGTAATGAACCAGAGGGTCCTATGAAGACGTAAGTGGGATCACATCACTTCTCCACTCAAAGCCAATAGCCCCTCACACACACAAATACACACACACACACACACACGGAATAAGAGCCAAAGCCTTTAAAGGGCACAGCCTGCAAAGCCCTACAATCTGCCTCCTTGTCACCTCATGATCTACCTGACCCTTCCTTCTCTCTCCCTCTCAATTGGGTCCCTGGGCCCCATTCTAAAGTGGGGTGGGCGGGGGATATAGAGAAGGCCCCCTCCTAGACACACACCAACAAGCAATTCTTGGACACCAGTAGGGTGTCCAGGAATTCAACTCAATTCTGACACTATCTACCCAGAGGTAGCAGCCAACATTGCCGCCAGTGGTCAATACGTCTACAATGGCTGGTAAGTTCTCAGAAAGTATGTGGAGAGAGACAAGCTTCGGTTGGAACGTGGGAGTGGGCAGAAGAGAACACAAGGTGTGAGGGCTCTGGGCCCACTTAGCTGCTTGGAGCTGACTCTTTTTTTAAAAAAATGTTTTACAACATTTATTTCACATCATGATTTCTTAGTCCTTATTAAGTTGATACAATTTGGGGACATAAATAGTCCCTCTCCCCTTTTTTGTTGCATATGTATTAGTAGGGGTAGGAAGAACAGAATATTACAGAATAGGCCAGGGAAGAGGAAAGATAGTGTCAAAGAGAAGAGAGTGTTTATATGAACCCTTCCATAAGCAGTTCCAACCAACCATGTACAAAGTTGACCCCATGAAGTGTTTTCTTTCCATGTGGACTTCTGAAAGCATGAAACAATTTGACATCATATTCAACATATATTAATTATACAGCATCATGGTGCAAGTTTCCTATCAGACATGATGAGTATATTGGAGCTGACTCTTAAATTTAGCTCAGAGCTTCTTGTTTTTATTGCCTTTTTTAAAGTTTTTGTTTGTTACTGCACTTTTAAAAAAAATCCTAACCTGAGGATATGTTTTTCATTGATTCCAGAGAGAGAGGAAGGCAGGGGGAGAGAGAGAAACATGGATGTGAGAGAGAAACATAGATTGGTTGTCTCACACATGTGCCCCAACTGGGGATCGAACTCACAACCTTTAGGTGTATGGGACGATGCTCCAACCGAGACATCTAGCCAAGGCTGAACTTCTTTTTCTTTAAATTACAGTGACATTCAATAATTTATTAGTTTCAGGTGTACAACATAGTGGTTAGACATTTACATAACTTACAATGTGAGCTCCCTGATATAGCCAGGACAATTTTTAAAAAGAACAAGAATATGCCGAAACCGGTTTGGCTCAGTGGATAGAGCGTCGGCCTGCGGACTGAGAGGTCCCGGGTTCGATTCCGGTCAAGGGCATGTACCTATACCCTTTGTAATACTTATTATAATATTTTTTTAAAAGAATAAAAAAAAATTGAGTGTTAAAAAAAAAAAAAAAGAATAAAGAAGATCCCTTTCCATAGATGGAGACTTAGAGCTACACAGTAAGGTAAGGAGGAGTAGTGAATGGCTAGCATTCACCGAGCATTTCCATATTCCAAGCATCACCCCTGGGTGTGGGGCTTCACAACTTGGACAAAGGACTCACCTGCAGCTTGAGGCTCAGGGCCCTGTGCTTCACAGCTGAGGCACAGAGAGCATGTCCCACCCGGACCTGTCCCAGCTGCCGCCTCCACTCGCTCCACCACGCCCTGCCGAAGAGCACATTGAAGATGGAACCAGTCAGAAAAAAGTCATGCAGGAAAGAGAAGGGGAGTGAGGGCTGGGCCTCAGACTCTCAGCTCGTCCCTCTGCCTCTTGGCACCATGTCCAGATTGGTATGTTAGAGTCACGGCTAAAAACGTCAATCGAGACAGTCCTAAAGCTACCAAGGAAGGTTTGGAAACTGATGGTTCTATGGTCAGATTCAGCCTTAGACAACATGCTCTGTATGGCTTACGCAAATATTTAAGAATATATAATAAATCATTGCCAAGATTTTAAAAACCAGGAGAGTTCACAGAATAACCTGCAAATAAAAGCAGCTTTTAGATTTCTAGTCCTGATGGATCCCTCCCTTTCCTCCTGTCCGGGCCAGGTTTCATTCCAGTCTCAGTTTCTCTTCTGCTTATTTTCTAAAAACAGTAATGAGGATATGAGAGTTAGCAACCTCTGCTTTACAGAAACACACAATTTGCCTGGTCACTCCAACCCACCAAAATCTCTTTCCTCCTAACCTAGGCCATGCTAGTTGCGTCACGCACTTCAAAATCTCAAGCTATCTTACATTATTAGTTATCTTTTAGAGCACTCAGGGAATTATAAGTTCCCTGAATGCAGCCCTAGCACCCAATATTGTACCAGGAACATTTTAAGCCCTCAATAAATATACACTGAGTAAATAAAATCATGTAAAAATAACCATTATAGACTCTAGTAGAATTACATACTTAAGAATCTTACAATATTTGCTGAATAAATTTTAAATCATTTCAAAATTATTTTATTTTAAATAACTTTCTGTATGTCCATCCTATGTTAAAATACTTTACAAATATTATCTTAAAAGTGTCTCCATGACAACCTTGAAAGATACTTAATGGTGTGCCTATTTCACAGATGAAAAAAGTGAGACCTGGAGAGGTGAAATGACCCAATAATACATGTTGAGAGAGGGATGTGAACCCAATCCAGTCTCGCTGGAAAGCCTCTGCCTTATCCATCCTACACACAGTGCCCAGGTAGGAGCATGGGTTTGGCATCAGAAAAATGCGTTTACAACTTACATGAGCTCGAGTAAGTTACTCAACCTTTCTGAGACTTACTGTATATCTTAATCTGTACAAGAAAACTTCTTTTACAGTTTATGGTGAAGATTAAATGAGACACTTTACTTTAAAAAAATTAATATACACACATACTTAATACAGGGTTGAGAACATTGTGCATAATCAATTAGTGTTACGATTATGCAAAAACCAGTGATCTTATAGTTGAACAACTTGTTAATATTTATTAGGTATCAATTATGTTCAAAACTGTTTTAAGGTGGGTTTTTATGCTGCTTCCCGGAGATAAAATGATCGTTGCTCAACTGCAGGGCATCTGAGTGCACTCACCACAAAATGCTCTGCTGCCTGAACTCCAGGGCGGTGGTCTGCATCTGAAATTTGGTTCTTCGAAAAACCACGTATATCAACCAGGACTTCCAGGCCCGTCGCATCTTTTGCTTTGCATCTAGATGCACCAAAGAGATTTTCAAAAAGAGGGAGGGGGAGATGGGTTACTCTGGGTTATGGTAAAACTCATGGGATTCTGTACTTCTCCCTCCTCTGAATGTCTAAATTCCTCCAGGCTTCAAGTGCCCCCTGCTGGAAAAGTCGTGAAGTTCCACAAAATGAATAAAGATGCAAAAGGATGTGAAGAATGGTTATAGAAGTGATGACAAAACATTTAAAGGAAAATCAATACACTGCCCTGTTCAGAAACACTTTTTTAAAAGCCCTTTATTTTTTAGAGATATGTTATGTAACATTTACAGATGAAATGATGTGAATAACACAGGAAGTAGAGAGGTGAGACTGGTATGAGTTGATAATTGTTGAAGCCGGGTGGGTGTATGTACATAGAGGTTCCTTATTCCATCTTTCAATTTTGTAGAGATTTAAAGTTTTCCATAATATGAAGTTTAAAGAGTAAGAAATCATGTTATAAATCTTGCTGTCTGAAACAATTTTAAAGTAGCATAAGCAAGACAAAAGAAAAGGCTACTATCTCTATCTGCTCGGGGAAACAGAGTAAGACAGACCAGTAATGATCCTGGAGGAAAGAGAAGTTAGTAGATCTGAAGGTGCAAAGGTCAACAGGTTTCCCTTTGTGGTAAATTCCATTTTTATTATGAAAGTTATCACTAATAAAGTAAACTTCTTTTCTTTTTAGCATACAAAGGAGAAAATAAAATTATAGAAAGCATTTTCAAAATATTCTCTAAAATGTGGTCAATAGGACTAGAGCTATACTTTATATTTCATAGGTGCTGACAAGTCAACTCAAAATATGAAGACAAATTTAACATGTAGCTTCCTCGAGCCCACCGCAGGCATCAGGAATCCACACACCCTCAGCAACAAGGTCAATAGCATGGTGCTATGGTTTAGAGTTGGGTAAGAGGCCAGGTCTGAATACTGGACCTTGTCATTTATTAGGTAAGTAACCTTGCATAATTAGGTAAGTAACCTTATCTATTAAATGATGCCTCCTTAGAGAAATGAGATTATCTATGAAAAGTGTCTCCAATAAATGCAAGCTGTTATGTTCTGAGCATGGATATCCCGGGAATCTGCATTCATCGTCTCTACCAAGAGTCTGATGACAATTTGAGGACCATTCCTCCCTCAGGCCTAAAAGTGCCTGCAGACTTTTCATCTAAAAGTGAAAGAGTGGACACTCCCTGAGGTCTGTGGACACGGTCTGAAACAATGTCACATGCCAGGAATAACTTGTTTAACAAAAGAAAAATTGATAAATTGGACTTCATCAAAGTTAAAAGCTTTTGTTCTGCAAAAGATAGTGTTAAGAGGATGGAAAGACAAGCCCCAGGTGGGAGAAAATATTTGCAAAAGGGGGAAACCATGAATTTGTAGGGGCAGAAGGTATTGCTCCCAAAAAATGAAGTCTTAATAAAGGAAAATAAAAGCCAATCTGGGCATTTCCTTTAGATGTGCACTTCCGTTTCTCACCGTAGTTCTCGGCTCTCGTGTACTTGTTCCTCATGCCCTGCTGCTGGTGCACGTAGGTCCTCCAGGTCTGGAACATCAGGCTGTACAAGTAATACCTGAGGAGCCAAAAAAGCAAATGGCATTTCTTATAACAAACAATTCCTCATTGATAGGCTTGGTCTGTACTCAGGAGAAATCACCATGGACATTTCCAATACAAAAAAAAGCCATATCTTCATCCTAAGCTAAACTTTCATTGCCTCTGATCACAGTGAAATCTACTGTCCTTGACAGAATGTTGCTCTCCACACCTGACGGTGTCACTGAAGAAAAAAAGCCCAATTTTTCCGAGAATAACTTCACCTTCAGCAGCCACAAAGCCATATTTGGAATGATAGGCATATTTTAGTCATCTTTCTTAAAATATTTTTTAAAATATATTTTTATTGATTTCAGAGAGGAAGGGAGAGGGAGAGATAGAAACATCAATGATGAGAGAGAATCATTGATCGGCTGCCTCCTGCATGCTCCCTACTGGGAAACGAGCCTGCGACCAGGGCATGTGCCCTTGACTGGAATCGAACCCTGGACCCTTCAGTCTGCAGGCCAACGATCCATCCACTGAGCCAAACCTTAATATCCACAGTATGTAAAACATTACTTCTCCTCTGCACTAAAACTTGGTCAATGACATTTTCTTTCTTTTCCTTCTCAATACATACACTGGACACATTCAAACTGTCAGTCCCTCCATATTTTCACTACCCCATTTCCTTAGACTTGATTTTTCATACTAAACCAGCTTTTAAGAATTATTCAGCCCTGACCGGTTTGGCTCAGTGGATAGAGCGTCAGCCTGCGGACTCCAGGGTCCCAGATTCGATTCCGGTCAAGGGCATGTACCTTGGTTGCGGGCACACCCTCAGTAGGGCCCGTGCAGGAGGCAGCTGATGGATGTTTCTCTCTCATCGATGTTTCTAACTCTCTATCCCTCTCCCTTCTTCTCTGTAAAAAATCAATAAAATATTTTAAAAAAAAGAATTATTCAATACATCTATTTTATCAAAAATATGTAAATCAGAACCCCTACCCCAAAGAACCTAAATAAAGAAGTGACTTTTTCCCCCCAGAGAACTTCAGTCCTTAAGGCGGTGGGGCAGCACCAGCTGGTCTGAATCGAGGTGGCTGGGGGTTGGTCCTTCCGGGCCTCACGAGGACGATTCCTGACCACCTCTCTGTGAAGGCACAGCTCACACAGCCATGTACTTTCACATGCAGCTTGGGAAGCACATAGGCAGGAAAGACACTGGCTTCAGAAATGTCCCTAATGGCAAGGGCCTGCACTATGTTTCAAAGGACAACTCCTTGCCCGTGGGCACGCATTGGGTGCAGGTGGCGTGCCTGCACATGGCCACGGCCTTTTGGTAAAGGCCATTGTTCCTTCTTTTTTGGGTCATGTAAGCAAGGGCCTGAGGGCGACACACAGCCGTGTACTTTCACATGCAGCTTGGGAAGCACATAGGCAGGAAAGACACTGGCTTCAGAAATGTCCCTAATGGCAAGGGCCTGCACTATGTTTCAAAGGACAACTCCTTGCCCGTGGGCACGCATTGGGTGCAGGTGGCGTGCCTGCACATGGCCACGGCCTTTTGGTAAAGGCCATTGTTCCTTCTTTTTTGGGTCATGTAAGCAAGGGCCTGAGGGCGAGAGTAAACACCATTTTAAACACACAATGTGTCAGATTTATTGGGCATATATTTTCTCCTATAATCAGTATAAATTAAAACAACTTACGTTAAAGAACAGAATATTCTCAGAATAAGAAATTATAAATAAGTGAAAGCCAAGCAGAAAACCTTATTCAAATCACTAGCATGACCAGCACATAATGGTTATTTGAATTAGAGGAGCGGTTCTCGTGCATGCGCACTAATGTGCATGTGTGCTTGGGTTTAACGTAGGATTTTGATCTTGCGGATTCTAAAAAAACGATTCAGAACGTGTCTCTATTTGACCATAAAGATGCCAAGGAATTACCTGATAATGTGCATCACTAAACTTGAAGTCACATAAATGAAATCTGACCTGTAGTAACAGTCTGCTCGAACACAGAGCTTCCACTCCCGCTGGGAAACCCACCACTCTCCTTTCCATTCTTCAAAGACCTTCCGGAGCACCCTTTGCTTATAGTAACACCTAGGGCAACGGGAAAAATCAGGGGGACATGAGGATATTAAAGCTGATCTCTAGTCCCAAGTCACAGTTTCATGTTACCATTGCTTTCGCGTAGTAAAGTGTGGCTCGTTATTTGGTAACACCAACATAGATTAAAAATAGACATTGAACTTTTTCAGATCAAAACCGTATATTATAGATCTTACCAACTAAAGGTATTAAAATAAAAATCTGACTTTTCAAATACCATATTGAATTGAGAATTATTCTCAATTTTTTTCATGCACCAGACTAAAAAATATTCTTGAGCCCTGGACAGTATAACTCAGTTGGTTGGAGCATTGTCCTTATACCAAAAGGTCACATGTTCAATTCCCAGGCAGGGCACATACCCAAGTTTTGGGTTCGATCTCCACACTGGGGGGGGTGAGGGGGGGGAGGAAAACAATAATCAATGTTTCTCTCTCTTTCTCCCCTCTCCCCCTTCCTCTCTCTTTAAAATCGATAAACATATTCTCAGGTAAGGACCTGATTTGATGTAAAGGGAACCCAAGTGATGGAATCCTAGCTAGAGGAGGAAGTTGAGGCAAAAAGATTTTTTTTCCCAGAATGGGAAAAATGACTGAATGTGACCCATTAAAGAGGGAAAAATTGACGATGCAAAAAAAAAAAAAGAAGAAAAAAAACAACACTTGCTACATTGATGGCCTTGAGTAGGCACAAGGGGAATATCATGCAAAAGTCAAGGATTTTGCCACAAATGAGAGCATGGACAGTTCATCTGCCCACCAGCTGGGAAAGCAGGCTACAAGGGATAGATGCTGGCACTGGGTAAATATAGTGGAGGTCTCTTCTGCTGCTTCTAAACCCCGAAACAAGGACACTAGCTACGAATGAGGAAGAAATACTGATTAATAATAAATGGACATGCCTGTTTTATCTACTTCCCAAGTTAGACAAATTTTGCTCAGATCTTCTCTTCAGAAAAATAGGGGACTACTTCAGATCTAAGACTGCCTTATATATGGACACTTACTGTATTATTTTTGCCCTACTAATTCAGTGGTCATTTTGGTTTAGTTTATTAATGATAAAACAATTCCAGTTTATAAAAATTAAAGTATTCTTTAATGGCTATATTCTATAGTTTCTGATATGTCATTCCCCTCTAATATTCCTAAATGTGAGAAATAGGTAATTCAATATGAACAAAGACCAAAAAAAAAAAGAAAAGAAAAATCAATATGCCCAAACCTCCCCAAAGTAACAACCTCCTTAACCTAAAAAAAGATTGCAGCCTGGCCAGCGTGGCTCAGTGTTTGAGCACTGATCTATTAACCAGGAGGTCACGGTTCCACTCCGGGTCAGGGCACATGCCCGGGTTGCGAGGGGCATGCAGGAGGCAGCTGATCAATGATTCTCTCATCATTGATGTTTCTATCTCTCTCTCCCTCTCTGAAATAAAATAAAAATAAAAAGATTGCAAGTTGAAAACCACCACCCCATCACAAATTTCTAATCAATGAAAACACCGTATCAGAACTCTAATTCCGGTAGATGCCCAAAGCCGTAACTAATCCCCAGATCAAACAATTAGCTCCGATCTGGGTTACAACCAAAACTCAGGTCTCCTAAACTCCCGTCCAGTATTCTTTCCCCTATATCCGGCCACCACTAAAGAGCAGAAAAAGTAGAGAGAGAAAGCAGTGTGACAAACACCGGTCAATGGCTAACCCAACACCAAGACTCTGCACTTCCTCATGGGCATCTGTTACAGAGGCAGCCTCCTCTGTACCCTCAGGTGGCCAGTGATACACTCTGACCAAGGAGGCCGAGCAGAATGCAGCTGGGGGCTTCCAGGAGCACTGTGCTTTCCCGATAGAGACAGGTGGAGCCGATACCACCTTCCCCCTCCTTCCTGGGTACAGCTAGATCGGTCACCTTGCAATTATGCGGTGTCACCTCTGAGGACAAAGGGCCAACATGCTAAGGATGGTGAACTAGAAAGGCACTAGAAACCCGAGTCTTCGATGGCATCACTGAACAGCTGAACCAATACCAACCTCCAGACTGCTTCTGAGAAAAAGTAAATCCCAGTTTAAGTCACTGCCAGACTTTCTCGAGTCAAACGCATTCCTAACTAAAACAGTCAGCATTTCCCAAACACTTGGAATTTAAGTTGATATTATTTGAAAAGAGATTTCCAGTTAAATATGGGTCAAATTTAAGTTAAATAAAATTAAGTAGGAAGAGGATTTGGGGAAGATGGTGAAGGTGGCAACGTTTTTCAATCTCTGAATCCCCATAAAACACACAGAGCATCCAGGTACCAAAACCAAAAACTCATGTGTCAATTACAACAAAACTAAGTGACAAGATATCCCCATGAATCCAAAATGCAAGCAGGAGAGGGCAAATGACTCACAGTCAAAAGACCTGCACAGTATTAACATTTGTACAGACAAAAAAGGAGCAATGAGGTGGCATGTGAGGAATGTAATAAAAGTTATGTGGCCCAGCCGGCGTGGCTCATGGTTGAGCATCGACCTATGAACTCGGGGTCACGGTTCGATTCCTGGTCAGGGCACATGCCTGGGTTGGGGGCTTGATCCTGTGTGGGGCATGCAGGAGGCAGCCAATCAGTAACCCTCTCTCTCCCTCTCCCTTCCTCTCTGAAATCAGTAAAAAATATATATTAAAAAAAAAAAGTTATGTGAATGGGATCTCTCCCTCTCTCTCAGCAAACTAGTACCAATTTCTTCTTCCTTCTTCACAAGTTCATGGATAGAAGACTCATTCTTACCCTACATCTTAGCAACCTCAGCATACTTTCTTGGGTTTTTTTTCCTTATTAAGTCAATAACTTCTACCTTTTCACGTAAAGGAAGCACTGTGGCTTCTCTTTGGCATATCCAAATTGCCAGCATCACTTTGGGGCCATTATTAAGTAAAATAAGGGTAAGTTGAACATGAGCACTGTGATACCGCAAGTTGATCTGATAACTGAGATGGCCACTAAGTGACTAACAGGGCGGGCAACGTGTATCCGATGGACACGCGGGATAAAGGGATGATTCACTTTCTGGGCGGGACAGTACGAGGTTTCATCATGTTACTCAGAATGGCGTGCAATTTAAAACTTACAAATTGTTGGTCTCTGAAATTTTCCATTTAATATTTTCGGATCTCAGTTGACCACAGGTAACAAACTGCAAAAAGCGAAACTTTCACAAATTAGGGGGACTACTTTATATTCTTTTTTTTTTTAAAGAACTTATTTTATTTATTTTTCTTTTTTTATATTTTTATTGATTTCAGAGAGGAAGGGAGAGAGAGAGATAGAAACATCAATGATGAGAATCATTGATCAGCTGCCTCCTGCACACCCCTTCTCCCCGCCATTGGGGATCGAGTCCACAACGTGGGCATGTGCCCTTGACCAGAATCAAACCTGAGACCCTTCAGTCTGCAGGCCGATGCTCTATCCACTGAGCCACACCAGCTATAGCTGTATATTATACTCTTCAGGACAGTCCTTAAAAGAAAAAAGAATATATAACTTCTAAGCCAACATAAATAAAAAAAAATAACAAAACAAGAGATTTCTGATAATGGCAAACTAGATAATTCAGATCAATTCTCCTACTGAGGACAAGAAAAGCAAATCAAAAAAATTATTTGAGGGCACTAAAGAGCTGCCAAGGCAGTGAAGAAGGACAGAAGGGAGAGCTGAGGTGAGCGACCCCTAACCCCTGCAACTGGGATGGGCTGCTGCCACACTGGGAGCATCGCTGGGCACAAGGAGATGGGAACAGTAAGGCGCCACAAGGTATTCAAAGGAAAGGTTTCAGAGAGCACACACAGGACAAAGCTGCTTGAGACCTTGAACCAAGAGGCCTTGGGAAATGTTCCAGGCTGGGAAAGCCAGGCTCAGAAAAGTACAACGGGAGAGAGGGAAGGAGGCGAGAACCCGTAACATTTGTTTTTTAAAAAACGCTTACATTCTCAATGGTTGCCAATTCTCCCTCTAAAAAATGCCCCACACTGGCCCCTCCTCTCCATCCCCACTACCTGCTGCACAGTGTCCCTGACCCCTGGGGCGCCCCCTTGCCGCCCACTCTGGACGCGGCAGCTAAAACTATCAACCAAAACCCAGAGCAGTGAGCAGTGGATTATACCGAGTGAAGCTATGGCAGAGGGACTTTCTCTTGACTAAAATTTCATTCCCATTGCCAGTGCCAACGTTTTCCGTAGAACAAGTCAATGTGTTCATCTTGCCCTTTAAAGGGCTCACTTACTCTGGGCAAATACCTTTTTTTCCCAGAGGCTATTAGCTGTCCTGGTTTCCTTTCTGATTCTTTCGTACACTCATTCAGTCAAACTAATATGTATTAAATTACCACTTTATTATATGCCTGCTGGAGGCCGAGGGAGAGCGGGGAAGGAATGTTACACACACCATAATAAACGTTATGTGTGGGCTTAATATAAAAACAGAAGCCCAGAATGAATGCAGCGGAAGCTCGGTGTTCCGAGCTAGTACTACCTGGCTTTTGAGGGAAATACTCTTCCAAAAGTTTTTCGAATCCACAAATACAAGAACTTCCTGGCCACACATCTGAAAGATGAAAAGAAAGGACATGCACATTTTAAAATTCCATTTGGCCTATTTCATCAGTTTTCTGGAAAGGAGAGGGAAACTTTAAGGTCCCAGAGGGAGAGAAATGCTAGTGAGTCAAAAGGTGAATCATAGCTAATCTTGCATCAAACAGAGCATACGATGGGACAGATTTATAAAGCTAAAATCAAGCAGATTTTTTAAAAAATACTTTCAGTTTAAAGTATTTTGTCAATGAAGACTTCAGCCCAGCCAGTGTGACTTAGTGGTTGAGTGTCGACCTTTGAACCAGGAGGTCACGGTTTGATTCCCAGTGGGGCTCGATCCTCAATGTGTTAGATGTGCAGGAGGCAGCTGATCAATGACTCTCTCTTATCACTGATGTTTCTAGCTCTCCTTCCCTCGCCTTCCTCTTCGAAATATATATATATGTATGTATGTGTCTATATATACATATTTAAAAACTTCGGAGTTGAGGAAAAGGAAGTATATGATAATGCTTTTGTTTGTATTATTCCTCCTTCCTAAAATGCCTGGCAAATGCCCACCTACCCATCAAGGCTCATCTTCAATGCCTGCTCCTATGTGAACCCTTATTGGACCTTCCTCAACCCAAACAGGGTGAATGCTCTGTGCTCTCAGCACTTTATTCTATTCTGGAACATTATGCCACCAAATCACGGTCATGGATTTGCAGGGTGCCTCTTGTTCCCTCTGCCATGAGCTCCTGAGAGCAGGGACTGGGCCTTACAGTATCCCCAGTACTCAGCGCACACACAAAAAGTTTACTTTTCTCGGCTGTTAACCTCCAGGTTTAATTGGGAATGTTTTTCTTCCTCCTGCCCTTTACCTGGCGGATTCTTACATCATCCTTCAGGAGTTGGCTTAAACTCCGTTTCCTGCAGGAAGTCACCCCTGACTACACTAGCATGGCTGCCCCTGACACATGAACCTACCTCTGGTACCACATCCTCTCCTTTCACTGCACTTACCACACTCTGTTGTTGTGACTTATTTAACAGTCTATCAAGCATCCCTGCTCTTAAACTTCGGTCAGGTCAAGGGACCAGGAATGCCTTCTTCGCCTGGTATTGCTCAGCATCTACATAACACTGGCAAAGTGGGGAGCGTGCAAGAGGCACCTGGTACATTTTACTGAATGCATAAATGGATGGATGCCTTTGATGGCGCTAATCAAGAGGAATAGAAAATAATCATTTTTCTTGGACCATGTTTAGACTTTTTTTTTAGTAGCTTACACATTGTGGGTACTAACTAGAGAACATGAATGAAAACACGCAATGACAGGTTTTATGTCATAATCATTTTTCTTGGACCATGTTTAGACTTTTTTTTTTTTAGTAGCTTACACATTGTGGGGTACTAACTAGAGAACGTGAATGAAAACACGCAATGACAGGTTTTATGTCTGCTGAGTCCTAAATATTTCTTTTTCTTCTGAACATTCTGCCATGAAAAGCAGGCATGAAGGTGTCCAACTAAATGAGATAGGAGAATAAGAATCGTCCAATTTTTTTTTTTTTACTAAAATTTATATTTACAGAGAGGAAGAGGGAGAGAGAGACTGAAACATCAATGATGAGAATCATTGATCAGCTGCCTCCTGCACGCCCCCCACTGGGGACCAAGCCCACAACCCAGGCATGTGCCCTTGACCGGAATCAAACCCAGGACCCTTCAGTCCCCAGGCCGACACTCTATCCACTGAGCCAAACCAGCCAGGGCTCGTCCCTCTATTTTAACCAAGAAGGGAGAACAATGAGAAATTCACTGCAGGCAGGTGACCACTCGCATGCTCACCTGAGGCGCAATTCTTTTAACCGACCCCTTTGGGTCTGAGCGTGGTGCCCTGGATGGCCGGAACGAGGTATCGCACTCCGGATCCCAGGGAAGGCAGAAGACTTCTTGTTGGACAGTATCTTTGGAGAATAAAATTTCTTAACTGCACCATCCCTAAAAGACCTTAAATTTGAGGAGTAAGGGGGAACAGAATCAAATTATCTCTGCATGTACTGCAAATACCTTTACACGTTTAAGTGAAATTAAATAAACTCTTTGAGACAGACAGATAATAACTATGCTTCAAGGACACCCAGCAGCCCAATCTCTGACAGAAATACCTGCAGGCTCTAGGCATCGACTGCAGAGCTACAGGGCACCTTGGAGTCATGAGTCCTAACATTTTAATGTCATTTTAAGAGTAACCATTTATAAACTAGAAACATTCTTTTATATAGAAAGCAATTAGGAATGATTTTCAGATAATGTGACTTTTACAACAATATGAAACCACATACTTTTACTAAACACTAAATTTCTGACTTTTAATCCTGCTTTAGAAACATTAAGAGTTTACATTATTGGGATGAACTCATGATTTTTTAAAAATGTTTTTAATATATATTTATTGATTTCAGAGAGGAAGGGGGGAGGGAGAGAGAGAGAGAGAGAAACATCAATGATGAGAATCATGAATTAGCTGCCTTTTGCACGCCCCGCACTGGGGATCGAGCCCACAACCCAGGCACGTGCCCTTGACCAGAATCGGACCCTGGACCCTTCAGTCCACAGGCTAACGCTCTATCTACAGAGCCAAGCCGGCTAAGGCTGAACTCATGATTTTTAAGAAATGTGTGGCAGGTGCTCTCCCCTCCAGGGAGCACGGCCCTGTACCGTTCCCTTCTCCCTTTTCTCCTCCCTCCCTACCCTGTCATGTATCCCCTATCCTCTAAGGCAGTGGTCTGCAAACTGCAGCTCGAAAGCCACATGCGGCTCTTTGTCCCCTTGAGTGTTGCCACGAAGTTTCAATCGCACTGTACATGGACGCCCGCACGTGGTATTTTGTGGAAGAGCCACACTCAAGGGGCCACAGTTTGCCGACCACTGCTAAGGGACCCCGTGAGGCTTGCAGCCAGGGGAGCAATGGACAGCTGCAGCTCGTCCAGGGCTAACTCCTTGAACCCAGCTCCAAACAACAGGCAGCTGCAGCTCGTCCAGGGCTAACTAACCCTTTGAACCTGCCTCTGACTTCCCAGTGAGCTAAGGCAGCCCAACCTAGGCTTTCCTGGTGCTTCTGCTATGCCCGTCCTTGTTTCACTGCGCTATGTTTTTTGCTGAGGTCAATAAATTCGTGCTTGCTTTTCTAAAAAAAGGAAGGAAGGGAGGGGGGAAGGGAGGAAGGAAGAAAGAAATGTATGGCAGAGCTCTACCTGCAGGAAATACTTGGAAGCAATGATATTCCATTAACAATGAGCACACACAGAGCTTAAACACTGTTTATAAAGTGCTATTCCCTACTAAAAGGAACCAGGGCTCCTTGTAGATGTGATTTCAGCTCTGAAACAAGGGAAATGCAGGATGAGCCTGGAATACCTTTTTAGGTCAGAAGGTAAAGAAGTGTTCAAACAATGACGGGGGCATGTGAACCATCTGTACGCCACAAGCGTCTATGGACCAAGGCTGTCTCATTCACTGGGGTGGCCCCACAGAAACAAGTGGGTGCTAGTTTGATAAGGAACAGGATCTTAATGTAGTTTCAAAAAGTTATCTACACACACACACACACACACACACACACACACACACACACGGTTGCCCCTTTCAACTGCTAAGCATCCAATTCATCAAGGAAAATAATGGAAGGAGCCGCCATTCCTGCTTTTTGGATGCTCTAACACAGTGGTTCTCAACCTTGGCTGCACATCAGAATCACCTGGGAATCTTTTTAAAATCCTGATTTCTGGGCCTCATCCTCCGGAAATTCGAAATTCTGTTTCATTGTTATGGGGTGGGGCCACAACATTAGTAACAAAGAAACAGAATTTCCGGAGGATGAGGCCCAGAAATCAGGATTTTAAAAAGATTCCCAGGTGATTCTAATGTGCAGCCAAGGCTGAGAACCACTGCTCTAACAGCTCTTCCAGATTCACCAACATAACTTATTAATTCGGGTCCCTTTCTGCAAGAAAAATCCAGTCCCCTCTCAATGGCCGAAGCCTTTACAACCATCCAGGTTATAAAGCATCCAGTGGCCCCTACAGAACTCCTTCCTGGCCGACCGCCGGTCGGGGGACAGGCTGCACACGGCGAGGGCCACCCCACGGCCTGCTTCAATGTCAGTTTGCTACGGCCCAGTCCTCCTCTATCTGCCCAGGACACAGAGACATCCACCACCACCTCCCTCACCCGCACGGGGCCTGCAGGAAACCAGCGTGACCTTCACCAGCCCCACCACCTCGCTGCCGGGGGTCAGGCTGCTTCTCCAGGGCACCCCTCGAAGGCAGAGTCCTGTCCCCGTCCCTCCCGGGAGAGGACAGTCCAGGCTGTCCATTCACTGGGGTGGCCCCAGCACCCACTGCAGGGCCTGGCTCCAGCACTGAATCAAAATCAAAACTTTCACAATGGCTATGCCGCACACTCAAAACAGGGTTTGACTGTAACGTAAGGTATGAAATGGGCACTATACTCTACATGGTGGGTGAGAAACCAAAAAAATGAACAACAACAAAAAAATCCTTACCCAAACTTCCTATCACATCCCCAGTGCATGAATTGAGAACAAAAACTTTAAAAAATAAAATCATATACTATTTTCACACACAAAATATTTACAGGCTTTTACCTGAGCCATCATTTCAGTTATTTTGTGTGTGTGTGTGTCAAGTCACATCACTCACCTGGAGTCAACCTTCCTCTCCATTCTCCACTTAATCTCTTTTTTTTTAATGGAAATTCAACCAGGGGCTTGATATACACTCTTCTGAGTGAGCAGATTCTTCATGAGTCAAAGCCTTTTATTTTCTCTTCTAACTACAAGGAAAAAAGAAGAAAAGGAGGGGGTGTATTTTTGAGAGAGGACGGAAGAGAAAGACAGAAACAGCCTTTGGCTGCCTCCCCGTTACCCCAGCGGGGGACGAACCCGCGACCCAGGTACGTGCCGGCCCGGAACCGAACCAGCAACCTCCCGGGGCGCGGACACGCCTCCGCCCTCCGCCCGCGGGGCCACGCTGGCCGGGACGTCCATCACCAGCTTTTCAACACAACGACCCCGACCGGGGCGGCCAATTCCACGCAGAAACCAAGGGCCCACGGTGTCCAGCTACCAGCGGTTCTCAACCTGTGGGTCGCGAACAATTAAAGTCCATCCTGCATATCAGATATTTACGTGACGACTCATAACAGTAGCAACATGACAGTTATGAAGTAGCAACGAAAATAAGTTTATGGTCGGGGGTCACCACAACATGAGGACCTGTATGAAAGGGTCGCGGCATTAGGAAGGTTGAGAACCACTGAAAGCGGCACCGCGGGGACAGGTCCTCGGGCCCGACACCATTCACGCCTCGAAGACATGCACCTGCGCGGAGGTCAACGAGGGGTCGGACGGCCTCGCGGCCGCTGAAGCGAAGCCCTCCTCGCCCTGAGGGGGAGGCTCCCTCACAACGTGGCCCCGGGGGGCTCAGGGGGCCCCTGTGGTGTGTTTACACTCGCCCCTCGCCGGCTACGCAGCAGGAGGACACGGACGGACGGACACGGACACACACACCCCCAAT